AGTCTTAAAAAATTCAAACTTAAAAGTGTCTAATCTGACCATAATAGAATGAAGCTACAAGTCAATAAGGGAAGCTAAATAAATTTATGGAAACTAAAACATTATTAAAATTACAAAGCCATTGAGTTATCAATGAGACCAAAAGGAATACATAGAATCATTTTTTTTAATGAGAATGTAGTCAAAGGTGAAATTCATTACTTAATTTATTGAGTCTTGATCCTAGAGTACACATCATTTTAGTAGCTTGTGTGACAGATTGGGAAGGCTATTTAAGGTGCTTTGCTGCAGACCCAAATGTGATGACTTAATTGCAGAAAGCACTTTTGGGATTGAGCTGTGTGTTGGCCTACTTGAGTCACAGACCATTCTTGTTGAAAGAATGAGCAGACAGGTTATGACTACTTAAACATAATCACTTGGCAGGCATGTTCTCAAACTGCCTGTTACTTCAAATAAACAACTGTCAGTGTTCATTACCATGACAAAATGTAAATTACTATGCAGAAAAGATTGTGGATAACACTTTCTTTCCACCAGCTTCCCTTCTGTTGAGATAGATGGTGACATTAACTTATGAACGTTTTGAGTAATAGCATTCAAGCATTTAGAAGTAAGGTGTATCACATTACTTGGTGAACCAACATCTTCCAGATGTTACTAAAAATTCATTAGAAGTTAATGAGTCCAACTTATTTTAATGTAATAGTATAAAAAATGTATGGGTGAAACTACCATTTGTTGAGTTTGGGTGTTATATCAGAGTTAGACTCAGTTATTAAAATCTTCTATACTCAAAAAAAAATACCCCAAAGTCATCTTAAAAGTTAACCCACCTGCCTAAGCATTATTCTATTTTAACACCAGCCTATTTGGAATCAAATTTACATTACATACTCAAAAATTAGAGACTTTATGGGGTAATTAGTTTGTTCATGAAAAAGGGGCAAATGGTTGTACAGCTGCAAAAACAAGCACTATTACCATACATGGTAACAACTTTTACCATGTATGCTCTCAAAAAAATAAGGAAAACCTTCCCTTTTCAGAAAAACACAAAAAACCTACCCTTACTATAAACCAATAGTCACATAATGCTTCTTGCAAGAAGTTATTGATTATTCACTGCTTTATATGCACATAGTAAATTTGCATTAAATATTTGTACATATTAGAATGTTGTGAAGTAGTTGTAATTAATTGTAGTACATACACAAGAATGATTTTATCTAGAAATAAGTTATTACATAATTCAATGGAAAGATTTTATCACCACTAAAGAGTTTT